CCCAGGGTACTTTGTAGGGGGAGTGGCCGTTCCGGGCATAGCTGCTAGGAGACTGCGGCGCAGGAAGGCCAAGATGGACAGCGAAAGCAGACTGGGAAAGCATTAATCAAAGAGGACAGTTTTTCACAGCAGATCCCAGCAGATCCCAGATCCGGCTCTGTATGTACAGATTGCACGCTGTTGAACAAAGTTCACTATACAATGATAGGTTTCCAATTGTTCCCAGATGTTTGTTGGAAAACAGGCTGGTTTCGTGAACCCCTTCCCCTGGCTTCCGGAAGATCATAGAAGATCATAGAAGCATTTCTGTCTAGGAAAGGAAAGCGCCAAAGAAAGATGCAGTCGAGGAACGCATCAAGAAAGAAACGCCAGCAGGCTGTCGATGTTTGGCAGGCTTCGTGGAAGATCACGCTGCGGGCTTGCCATATAACGAGAAGACCCATGATGAGTTGTTGGCTTATTCGGATCGTGTCCGGGCTGACGGCTTCTACCTCAGTCTTTTGGACATAGTTATGCTGGCAAATACCAACAACAAGAAGGTCATGGTTGTGTTCAACACGGAGGAGCCGCTTACTGTGGTCTCTTCGTTTGATGTGCTCCAGCAGCTTTTGCCTGAGGGGTTCTCGATCTGTGACAAGCCTGAGCTAGATTCAGATCCTTCCAGCTTGTGGTATTTGGTCTTGACGCGGGCTGATTCCAAACCAGCAACCCAATTTAGTGAGCTCAATCATTGGCTTCCTTGCTGGCGCAAATCGCAAGTGAGCGAGGCTTCTTTCAACTTTGGTATATGAAGTCATATGAGGCAAGCCACTGTGAGCAGAAGCTCCAAGCACAATCTCTCATCGCAGAATGCGTCGAGACAACTCCTGATTCAGATGAGCACGACGAGCTCCAGAGGAAGTTGGACGAAGCCATGGACAGTCTGAACATGCTGGACGCACAAGGGAAAACATTCACTACCCTTCATCAGTTGGGTTTGCTTCCTGAACAGGTTCCAGCAGACGGGGATTGTGGAATATGGTCGGTCTTGAAGCTGAAGGACTTTGGTCCGTCTTTCTCCAATCTTGACAGTGAGGCTCACAAACACAACAGTGTTTCTGGGAAGTACCCTCCATGTGAAGAGAAGAAGATGATGAGAAATATGCGAGCCGACGCTTGTAAAAGATGTTGGCACTCCCATTGGTCATTATGGGTCCTTCAACGTCCTTCATATAATATAGTCATCCTTGGCACCGGTACGATTCGGTTCCAAATATGTCAACAAAAATCAACAATCACATACTACTGTATACAACTAAATACAACTATATACAGTGCATAACATTTCTTTGAAACAAGGTTCTAGATGTTGGTTTGAGGTAGATGTCAGTACTGTTTCTCGTATGTTTCTCAATTACCAATCTCCTGTCAAGGAATTGGGACAGTGTATCCTTGCAAATGCAGAATCACCACTGTGGCAGTTCCTGTTCACTTCCATGGACAACTGGACAGAAGACGCGCAGGGCAAGCAGGCCAAAGCCATGAAAAAGAACAAAGTTCGTCAGGATCTTGAAGACAAAGCAGCCCCCCAGACTCCCAAGAAGAGGCATGCGAAATCCGCTGTGAATGAGGAGGAGAGGCCTTTGGCAACACCTCTTTGGCGGGCACCCTTCACCAGTGCCGCCCAGCCAAAATTGGGCAACCTCCGAAGAGAGACACGCACATGTTGATGCAGGCAGGCGCTTTGAACCTGGTGGCAAATGCAGCCTGTCAGAAGGATGTCGAGGGCGAGAACCTTGTGGATGACTTGTCGCCTCCACGGCTGACCCGAAAATCCCACAATCGCTGCAAAAAGAAGGAACGGAGCATGCAGGAACAGCGGATGCGGGTTGTACGGACTTACATGGCATCGCTCGGCATTTCATGGCCAGAGTTCCAGAAGATCCACAGCAGGCTCCAATGGCAAAGAACTCTAGGATACTCTATAGATCTCTACAGTGATATATATATATATATTGATCTATATTGATCTCTAGATATCTCTAGTACCATCTAGTTGTTAAGGATTAGGGTCCTGACATTTTGTAGCGCTCAAAGCTCCCACCCAATTTGTTTGTAGTCTTTTCTTTCTGTTCCTTTGATTTTGTAGTATTTTGTAGACGCAGCGCAGGTTTGCGCCTATGAAAAAGTGCAGCCGGTGTGACGATGGTGGCTTTATTGCCCTGCAGACAAAGCTTTTTTCTGGTGAGCAGCCCAAGTGCCTAGCGTGCCTGGAGCTGCTGTCTCTTTGCAAATTCCAGCCTGCTGCCCTTGGAGAAACACATCCTAGACAACGTAGTCGTGTCTGCCCCTACCACATCGACCACGGAGCAGAATGCTGGACTTGACACTGAGGACCCAGCCCCGGAGAAGGAGCGAAAGGAGTCTGCCGAGACCAATAGCACGGACAAGAAGTCAGAGAAGAAGAAGAAGAGGAAGTCAATGGGTGGTGAATCAGACGAAGCAGACCCTTTCGCATATGCCAGGAAGTTTGAGCCTGACATCATCTTGCTACCGCCGGGAGAAGGTGGTAAGAGATTCCCTTACAAGTGCCTCGTCTGTCGAACCAAAACGTACCCAGATGGGAAAATTGGCGAGCTCGGCTTGGCAATATCCTATTCTGTTCGCCACTTTATCGACCAACATTTGGAATCCAGCCATCGCAAGAGAATGTTGGCGGCCAGGGGTGCGTCGCCCCAGAGCGCAGAAGATTCTTGCGAAGGCTTGGCAGTCAGCAACCCTCAAAGTGGTCATTTGTATACGCTTAGACGTGAGTTTGACCTGTGGGCCCAATACGCACACTTGGAAACCCATGCAAAGCACAAATATTGGCGAGAAGCCAACAATGATGAGACTGGGGACTGCTGGTTCATTCGGTCGTCGTCGTGCTTGCAAACACGCCCGCTTTCTGAAAAGAGGCTGCGGCAAGTATGCAACAACTGCCTTGCGTTGACCAACTCTCACAGTGTGCCCCGGAATGTTGTGAGGTTTGCGATGAAGTACTATGCGGCCCCTGTGCTGCAGGGGCTCTTTTTGCCCAAGGAGGAGCTCTATGCGGCAGAGGCAGAGTTCAACAGGAGTGGTCTCCATTCCAAGGACCCAAAGAAGGTGCGGAGTATTCTAGCCCTGGACACCCCGAAGCTACAGCAGTTTGTCAGGGCTAGCATTTGCTCAGATGGCGCCAAGTCAGAGGCTTTGCAGAATTTCATTTCCATTGCTTGCGAGTCAACTCTTCCTCAATACCAGAACGCCTTGTGGACGTCGTAGCACAATTCACTGCGTGCATCAGTGCCGGAGATTTCAGCGATTTGGACACGGCATCTCTCAAAGTAGCCACAGCTGCACTGACAGGGCAGCTGGAGAGCACCCCATGCTTCTAGGCTTGGCGCTTCAATTCCACAAGAAGCTCAGCAGAGATGCTCGCGGACTCTCTATGCGTGGGCGGCCAGACAAAACCCAAACAGATCGGGAGCTCACCCTCATTGCCAGCGCAGGAAGGGAACTGGCTCTCACAGCTGGCAACACAGCATTGTTCAAGGAATTTGGCTTGAGCATGGAGCGTGGGAAGATTTCCGTGCAGATGCTTCAGGAAAATTCTTTGCCCTCCCCTGCGCTGGCTTTGCTTAAGCCTGAGGTGACGCAAGAGAACATGATCCTGGCCGATCAACGCTTTTTGCAGCACCCCGAGTCCAAGAAATGTGGCTTGGAATGGTTTGGAAATGTCTACTACATTCCACTACTAATTGCTAGTGTATGAGGTCATTCACTACAAATTGGTAGGTGTTCAGTACTTTGTTGCTTCCTGATGCTTCTTCTATTGCTATTTTTTCTACAAGATGAATGGGGCAAGGCATGAACCACTACAAATCTCATGGTGCTAGATCAGTATCCCTGAAAATTCTAAACATCACAACCTATCCCAACCAGCAAAACCAATTTGCTGGATCATCCCGCTGACCAGGTCGGTTAGTGGTTGCCTTCGATGAGACTTATCTTACCAAGACACTTGGCCAGACGCGGATGTTTGAGGCCTGGTGGGGGGTGCTTGGCTGCCGGCCAGCCCTGAGAGTGCCTTCATACGTCTAGACAAAGGCAATGTCGACATCAAGGTGGTGTCCGAGCGCTCCTCACAAGAGTCCACTCAGCCTGTGCACTATGCCAGTGGAACATTCTCGCGCGGCCCTGAAGGGGGCTGTTCGTGGCAAGTGGCTCATGCTCCAGATTGTCGGAGAATTTATGAAGAGCAGCCAGGGGTGATCAAAGGGTTGGTCTTTGATGGCCACACCTGCCACGTCTACATCCGCAAGCTGCTCCATGGCCAGACCACCGACATTTATATTTGTTTTATATTTTTTAAATTTGTTTGATACTACTTCTATTTTCATACTTATACATAAAGATTGTTATATGACTGGCTTCTGTCATCAGAGGCCACTCAAACAAGAACACGGGCGGGCAATTATCGTCTTGCCTGCGGACCCTGACGTACGGCAAATACTTCTGCGACATGGTGTGCGCACGTGAACATGGGCTTCCACCGGCAGCTTATGGCAGAGCCAGCCCGATGAGTGATGCCCTTCAAGCAATGCTCAGCAACCGGTTCTACCTCATTATCGATGCAGTCCCTTGGATTCCCTTGGTGTGTTCAATATTTTGCTTTTTTACACCGTGGCATCCTGTAGTAGGATGCTGGGGCCATCCTTTTTGTCGTGAAAACATATGAAACATGTAGACCAATGCATCCAAGGACTGCAATTTACATGAGACGTGTGTCCTCTGGAGCTTGCGGGGCTCGTTGGTCCACAACGTTGTGGTTGCTACGTGCATCGCACCCCAGCTGAACCAGAACATGGAGTTGCAGCAACGATGTGAGATGCCTTGACAGGCTTTGTGGCGATCGACCTCTTCTGGCTTTTAGCGGAGGATACCTGCAAAGAAAGGAAGTTGCCACGTGGGAGCCTCTTCATGTCCTGTCTACAGCAATGGTGTGCTTGACAAAAGATGAGGAATTCACACCATGGCGCTATGCGCCCGGCCGCTTGAGCGAGATTGCAATCGAGCACCATTTTGGACATTTGCGGCAGCAGTTCTCCAACTCACAACTGACAACCCGAGGCTTCTTCCAGGCTGACGCCCGGCAAGCCATGAAGGCGAACAAGGCTTTGAACAAGTGCAAGCTGGGTTCAAGAAAATCAGAACCGGCGCTGACAGAAGCAGAGTCACTTGTTCATCTTGGTCCATTTTGTTCATATTTGATCTGTTTATATCTGTTTATATCTATATAATTGTATATAATTGTATATAGTTGTTTATTTGTTTCTTCCAGATCCTTCAAGTATCTTCACTCCTTCTCAGTCCTTCCCTTGACAGTCCAGGTGGAAGCCATAGTTTTTTGTAGTGATTCTAATGGAACCCCTTCATTTTGTAGCATGCCTGGGCTGTATATTTGTGATGCCGCAGTGGATCACAGTGTTTCTTCTTCTTCTTCTTCTTCTTTTGACCTGAGGTTCCAAAAGTGCTGTGAGAATGCTCTTCAGGGAGCTTTGCAGCTTGTCTCCTTTTGCAGCGGCGTCAAAGAGTCCTTTTTGGAAAATGACTACCGAGCATGGTGTGATGGTCATGCAGGTTTTAAGGCAAAAATGCCAGAAGAGGAGGAGGATGATGACCAATGCGATGAGTTGGGCGAAGAGGGGCAGCTGCCTGCCTCACACAAGCCCATGGATTGCATGGATGTTTTGGCAAACTTGCAAGGGGAGACAACTTTCATGCGCAAAGCCCTTGACGCAGACGAGGGCCAGCCAAGCACAGAGCCAAGCACAGAGGCGAAGGCGTCTGAAGAGGTAGACTCCTACTTGGCTTTGCTTCCAGATTCCGACATGCTGAAGCATTTGATGGAGCTTGCAAGCATTGCAGAGCCTTTTGCCACCGAGACCTTTTCTTCTCCAAGTGGAAATGCAAAGGGCAAAGACCGTCTTCCAGCAACACTACTGGAAGCTTTCAATTTGCCAGGAGATCGTTGGAACGGCCTGTTCAGGTTTGCAGTGAAGTTGAGGTGCACTGCTGGGGCATGCGACCGGATGTTCATTCAGAATCCAATGAACAGCCGCAAGGCTTCCAGAAAGCTCAATTGGTATCAGCAATGTGGCTCAAAACTATTGAACAATATGGAACATGAATGGACCCATTCATTTTGTAATGTCTTTCCCAGGGCTGATTCATTTTCTAATCTGGATTTCCTAGCCAATTCCAGAGTTCTCTTGACCTTTCAGGTACAATGAGCGAATGATTGCTCAGATCAATGCGGAGGTTGAGGATCCGCAGTTCCGCAAGCAGGCTGTCAAAGTGGAAGGAACTGGTGTCGCAAGCCCAAAAGGACCTTCAGCTTCCTGTCGCCCACCTGAGCGGATTATGTTTCGGGCTTAGAATGGCCCAGTGTGGCTCAGCAAGTCTCCAAAAACTGCAAGAGGCGGCTAGATTTTACAGATGTCTAAAGAATACTTACAAATAGATCCAAATATATCCAGATATTTATCTGTATAGATTTGTAGAAAGCCAGGCCTGGCAACGTCGTGCTGTTCCATCAGCCCGGCGGCATGGGCACCGTGGACATCGGGGTGGTGATGAGTGTTTGGAAGGGAGTGAAATCTCCCAAGATGTTTTCGGGCGAGACACCTGTGAGCAGTTGCTCAGCTTTTCGGGTGGTGGTGCTGGACAAGCTTGGCACCGAGTCGAACAAGACCTGGTTCTGCACGGGACGCAGTGTTGCCTGGGTGGTCAGGATTGAAGCTTTGGTTTCCATCCTTGATTGTGAGAGCTGTTTCCGGGCTTCAAGGGTCAGGGTCCAATCATTTTGCAAAGACTTGTTGCCAAACCTCTCATTTTGTATTTAAAGTAATTTTTAATGGTTCATGGATTTCTGAGAACCCATCATTTTGTAGAGACTTTCGAGCAAACCTCTCATTTTGTATTGAAAAATGTTCAATGGTTCAGGGATTTCTGAGGACCCATCATTTTGTAGAGACTTTCGAGCAAACCTGTCATTGTATATAGTTAGAAACGATCATACACACAGTATCACACAGTGTATTTTCTCCATGTTCCTCCTCAATCCCTTCCTTGCTGGTGTTTAGCGTTGCTGAGGCGAACCTGTGGGCTCTGACCGCTTCGAGGTGAACATTTCAGAGCAAGCTGTTGATGCTCTCACCAGGATTGAGGACATTGAGACATGGGTTGTCAACCACACCATGACTCGAGGAAACAATATCAATAAGAAGCAGGCTGACAACTTGCCTCCTGTGAAACAGAAGCAAAGGCGTCGTCAAGGAACCAAGAGAGCCTCCCAGAGCTTCCAAGAAGAGACAGACCGATGTTCCGGAAGAGACAGAGAATCTCATGGAAGAAGCAGAACCTGGGCCAGATCCCAAACGTCCTCGCACAGAGATTGCAGATGATGAGGACTGTGACTTTGATGCCACAAGTTACAGACATTCTGCCAAAGGCCGGAAAGCCATTTCTGACCAGATGGGTCGGCTTTGTCGCTTGGACATGGAGATTGCCTTTGAATCTCCTAGTTTCGGTCTGGACGGCAAGTGTCGCATGAAGCACGAGAGCGCGCAGTGCATGACAATGCCTGAGTTCGGGGCAGCCTGTCCAGAATGCTTGGAGGCGCTCTACGTCAATGTGAGGTCGCCTGCTTTGTATGGCACAGCTGTGCGCAAACTTTTTTCAGGCATTGAAGACCAACTTCGTTCTCGTACTCCGCGGCGGGGTGCGTTCCTTCGTCTTTTGAAGGACATTGCCGAATTTTGTCTCGCAAAGAGACAGGGTGATGCAGGTCCAATCTGAAAAGATGATTGGACAGGGACGGACAGGGTGAAGCAGGTCTAATCTGAAAAGATGATTGGACTCAGGGCAGCTGCAAAAAGAACAGCCGGAAGAGCAAGACAGAGAGAGAGATGAGAGTAGAAAATATTTACAAAATATACAAAATATTTCAAAAATATATATAACAATCTACTTATACAGAATGACTGTGCCCATCCTTTGGTTGTCAACTTGGAAGTCACCAGTGGGCGCACTACAAAATGAAAAACATAGTTTATGGATGACTCATTGCTCAGAGCTTGAGGTTAGACCCTCCATTTTGTAGTGCACTTTGTCGTTTCTCAATCTTTGTCTAGGTCCTTGCATTCTATAGTGAGTGTCCTCGAGCACTTGCATTGTAAATGCCAAAACTCTGGCTCCCGCAAATCATTTCTATAGAATGAGCGGCCCAACCTCTCCATGGGTATTTGAAGGGGGATACAATTAGGAATTTTGATGAATTTGTTGTTTGAATATGCTTGAATGTCGAACCATCTCATGACTTGGTTTTGTGTTTGCAGTGGCCTTGCCAACTTGGCAGGAGATTCTTGCAGAGGAAAGATCCGGTCGCCAGGAGGAAGAAGTTGTTGCAGGGCTACGGCGGCGTGTGGCTTCGAGGAAGGAGATGACTGAGGCTCGTGCTCAAAGGAACACGGACGAGTTCGAGAAGGCTTGTCGTGAGGAGGCAAGGGTGATACCTGGGTTCAAAGTTCAAAGGTTGTTTTGTTTTTGAGGACGGACCCAGCCATGATCACCAGAGCGCAATGCGGAAGCAAAGACCTGTACGGAAAAGAGTTCAGCAGCAACCAGCAGCCTCACTAGACACACAGACCTCCCGATTGGGTTGAGTCCAATCAAAAGCCGCTGCTTGAGGAACCAGATTTGCTTTGAATGAATTCAAGAGCAGCAGCTTCAGGCCTGCGTTTTATGTTTGCAGCGGGCTTGGCAGGTGTGTCGGAAAGAGGAAATATGCCTCCAGCAGGAGAAAGAAATACTGCGCCTCCAGGAGCATTTAAGTGAACGAGCCTGTTTCTTCAATTCCTTAACATTCACTTGTGGATGGCACTCTTGGACGGAAGAGAACAACGATGTTTTAGGTTTTTTGAGGCTTCGTACAATGCACTGCGGGCACGTCCGCAAGATAAACTGGACGAGACCGGTAATAGGTATAGATTGGTCCCGTGTGCTGCTGAGTCGATTCAATGTGCGATGTTTGAAGAACAATTAGGAATTTTGATGAATTTGTTGTTTGAATATGTTTGAATGTCGAACCATGTCATGACTTGGTTTTGTGTTTGTAGTGGCCTTGCCAACTTGGCAGGAGATTCTTGCAGAGGAAAGATCCGGTCGCCAGGAGGAAGTTGTTGCTTGTGCAAGTGATCTTAAGTGAACTTAAGTGAACCAGCCTGCTTCTTCAATTCCTTAACATCCACTGGCTTGTGCTTCATTTCGTCGATGGCACGGGTCCAAGAACGGAAGAGAACAACAATGTTTTAGGGTTTTTGAGGCGTTGACTGTTCTGGTACCATGCACTGCGGGCACGTCCGCAAGATAAAACTGGACCAGACTGGTAATACGACGTAATACGTATACGTAGTCTGAATGATACACCCTGTGTAACCACACTCTTAAGTGATCCTACACGCTCGGTCCTTTGTCCTTTGGCCTGTGTCCAGCTTGAGCCACCGTTTTGGTGGATGGGCATTCATGAAAGCTGATGGACCATGTGCGTTCATTGAACATTCACACTCCCTAAAAATCATAATCTTTCGAAAAACAATATTGACTCATGGGTGTGATAGTTCTTTTCCATCAGCTTTGCCTTCTTTCATCCATTTCAATCGCTCACGCTTTGTGGCTCTGCTTTTTGAGAGCTTCAGCTTCATCGAACAACCTGTATACCCCAGTTCTCAAGGCTTCCCTCAGAACATCCCCACCCATACACTTGGTCAACGAGTCAGCTAACATTGCTTGACTACAGATCCACCGCAGCTATAGGTTCTCTTGGAGGCATTGGCGGATGTAGTTCTGTACTCTGGGCAATGAGGTGGGCTCAACTTCGTTGCCACATCAAAAACACTCTTGCAATCCGTTGTGATGCAAGCTTGAGGCGCTGCCTTCAAAATTGCTGTGAGTCGATGGCTGGGTTCTTCAGCCATTCCCACATCACCCTTATGAAGCTTAGTCTATCTAGGGCAGAACTTAGAGCAATTGCTTCTGAGCTCAATGTGGAGGTCACAACCCTGGGAATTTTATTGGATGACCAGGCTATTGGGCATATCACAGCTGGCTGATCTTGGACAAGCATTTGATCTGTTGACACGATCAAGGCTCCTTGTCTTGACGGTGACCCTTTGCTTGTGGAAAATGAAGCGTCGCTAAATCCACAAAAGGTCACTTGCCTCTGGGATCAGAACAACGATTAAACTCATTCGATTAGTCTTGGCCTCATACAGAACCCGGTTGGCTTGAAGCAGGTCCTCTATGTTGATCTTTGAGGCAATTCTTCCAACCTTGGCACTGATATCTGGCCTGGTGTGAACGGAGGCATACTGCATGCTTCCACACAGCTGGCGGAGTTGTTGTCTTTCTGCGTCATCCACGGGGCTTTCAGGTTTCTTCCTTCTCTCCCTACAAACATGAATAGGGGAAATCTTCTCTATGTAACTATGTACTTACCTTGATCAATCTCGATTGAGTAGTCAACCCCTTATTTGAAGTGGATTCCACAGAAGTCAAACTCCTTCTCATAGTATGCTCCAAAACTATACTCTTCTTTCAACCGTTGGATGGTAGTTTGGAAGAACTCATCACCACCTCCTAGCCCATCGTCCACATGAATTCCAAGGACCCCCCTCACTCTAGGCGCACCATTCTTACCTCTAGCGACTGGGGAGAATACACAACCACCAAAAGGACATGCAACAAAACCTAGTTCCTCCAAGGTTTCCATAAAGGAGTTGCGCTATAGGAGTGGTGCATCTGCTCTTCCATAGGCTCCTCCTGTCAGACCACACTGGTCTGTGGAGCTCATCTGTTGAATTCAGCAGGAGCGTGCATTCCTAGTTCACGGCCGTCTCCTTTTCCTCTTAAGAATGCAGCGGAGACATCAAAGTTGATGAGGGGCCAGGCATTGAGCTCACTTGTTGGAGGAGTAGTTGTCTTCCATCCTTTGACAAAGTCGGTGCATTGGTATCAATCTTTCCTAATCCTGGATCCTCAAACCCTTCAAACCCTAGGATCACTAGCCTTGCTTTGGCACGAAATTCGGTGGAACCTGGTAAAGGATTTTTGAGGTTAAGATCCACCGGGCGACCTCATGATTTGCTCCGAGTTGAGAGTCCCTTGGGGCCAATTTCTTCACTGTTCCATTGGACTGAGATCACGATACCGAACTTCAACATGTTGTTTCTTTGGGTTGCTAGCCATGAACACTTCAAATATTCACAGAATTGGTGAGGAGGATTTCCCATCCCTTATGGTCAGTCCCCAATTGAACATCATCCGCAGAAGCAACCAACAGGTCATCGTCACTTACTGGTACCGGAACGTCCACTCCATCAACAGGGTCTCCCTCTCCCACCACTGTTGGTGTGTATTCCTTCCTGGGAGTGATTTGGAGGGCGCCCTATGGATGGTGGTTCCGAAGGAAAGGCCTCCATTTCTGGCTGTTCTTCTCCCACTGAGCTAGTGGTTCACATGATGGCGTTTCCTCTCCTTCAGGCATTTCATCCTCTTGTAATTCTACATAACGTTCACCCTGGCCTCCCATCAAGTACTTTTCTATCTCTAGGAAGTTTGAGGTATTCCCTGAGAGGCTGGCCGGAGCTGCTGTGGACTGGCGCGGATTAGCCATATAATCCGCACCAGTAGAGGGTCCAGTCCGCAGGTTCAAAACTGATCATGCCTGGACAACTGCGATGAAGGAGTGCACGGCGAAAGGCGGAATCATTACCTGCCTGGACAAAGGCTTTCCTGGCCAGTTCCCTTGTTTCCAACTGTCGTCGAAACCTAAGTCCCTCCGGTG